TTATATATTTATATATGAAATATTTGTTTTGTTTAGTAAGAGTGTTATGGCACTCCCAACTGCATAAGGTCATATGAGCGCTCGACAAAGAGGAGTAGAACATCCTATTAACCCTATACGTACGCCGTGGAGTCATTTTTACCCCGGAGTTGTATTTTTCACATTTTAGAATACTCCTAGTGCAAAGATCTCTTTGAAACTTCCAGTATTTCTCAAAAAATCGTTTTGACAGACTGCTATGCAAAGCGTAACGAGTAAATTTCCTCTTTGGAAAGTGGTAGCACAGAGTTCCCCACGTCGAATAGATACGAAAGTAAAACAGGACGATCCTAAGGGTAATTATTCTTTTAACTTGGGTTGTTTTGGGGACATTGTTCTTTCTATCGAACTCAACATCATGTGGGTGATTGGCGGGTGCTCAGGTGTGGCTTGCTTCTTCTTTCCTATTAAACAGCTATTGTCTTTATCTCCCCTCATTCTTTTTTGTGTTTGTTACTCTCTTGTAACACCACTAATCTTCGGCACATATAAGACCGTATTGTGTTGCAAGTGCCGTAAAACTCTTACTAAAGCAAAAAAAGAAAACTCAACATCAGACGTGTCCCCAAACTGTTTGACAGAAAGTTCTGGCTGTTGCCGACTTACTGAGGAATTTTGTTTTTTGAAAATGATATTGATATAAAATGTTGGGTTTTTTTTAACCAATAAGTGCAAACCAATCACGGTGCAGATGACTCATTGGCATTATCCTGAAACACAATCCTAGATGTCCGGCGATAAAGTTGAGTGGGTTTTAAAAACGTTTTAAATTTGAGTTTCAGGTGGAAAATATGTTATGCACGTGAATTTAAAAACGGGGAGGGGGGGGGGGTTAGAGAATTTGGCCCCGGGAGTGGGGCAGGACGAGGGGAGAGGGAGGAAGGGAGAGGGAAGAGGGGCGTCTAAAGGACACGAGATGCTGTCGTTGTTGTTACTGGTGCAACAAGAGTGAAATTCGCTTTGCTGACCAATTTCAAACCTGGGTCTACTTTCAAGTCTGGGCACAATCGGGCACCAAATAAAATTGATCCAATCACTGACAAGTTCGTTTCTGCTAAAAGTCATCGATGACGTAGTGTAGCGCTTTGCGCAAGCGCACGCACGCACTATCAGCGGTTGATTCTGCATGCGAGAGATGTTTGATCAAGGGACTCAACTCTCAGATGCTTTTAAAGCGTTGTGTGGGATGAAACCACAAGATTTGTAGCCCTTGTCAGCTGCACTCACCGCTGTGATTTACGGGCTGGGAGATTTTCTGATAAGGCTGTTATAAAATAGTGATACACATTTGTGAACTTGTAAGTTAAAGTTTGCGACTATCTTCGTGATTTCGGAGAAAGGTGTGTGAATATTATAACATTTCTTTAGATATAAATATTATGTCCGTGTGGGAAAAAGAGGAACCGAGTTCTGTTGTTTCAGTTATAAATTTCTACCCATTATCCTCTTGGGTGCGGGGGTGCAGAGGGGGTCTAGTGGGAAGAAAAGGTTGTTTCGTTGTTGTTGTTTTTAACTTACCCTTTCTATTTTGTGTTTACGGCTATTAATTTTCTTTCGACGAATGGTTTTCGTCCGTTTTATTTTATTTGTTTTCTTCTTGGAGGACGATTGTTATTTTAATTCTTACTGTTTTTATTTATATCGGGCCTGGAACGAATGGGTTGACAGTAGGATTTGTTTGATTTGCATTTTCTTGTTCTTGCTTTTGTTTTGTTTAATTTAGTTTGTTTGTTTGGGATTGAGGCGGGAAGTTTTTTGGGGTTGGTGTTTGTTTTGTTTTTTGGGGTTTTTTTGTGTTTTTTTGTATTTTGTTGGTTGTTTTTTGTGGGGGGGGGGGGGGGTTACGCTAAACTTCAAAGACAAATTATCGTGAATTTTTTGATAACATGAAAGTGCCGTAAAAGTTTGAAC